GGAAATGTTATGTAACCAGGTGAAAAATGGGTACCGTTTTATGCATTTTAATCCTGTTTATTTCAGTTTTCTGGTTGCAACACTTGTTCTGGTCATAGAGTGGCGCTAGTCCCATGTTTAGAGGTAGAAAATTCCAGGAAGTGAAAAAAAAGCCTCACTAGTGTTGTGCGGTCTTGCCTGAGGAAGATGATGAAGGAAGACATATTGAGCTGAGCCTGGTTGGGAAAAGACGATGCATTAAGCCGCCTGAACAAATATTCGAGTGTCTCGAAGTGCCACTGCCGTTTTGTAACCCGTTTATACCGCGTTGCGTGCCGGTTTTTCATGCCGTTGCAGTGCAGCACTAGCACTCTGTTAGCTTTCTGTGCATGGAGCACATGGCTCAGATTTTATTTTAGAGACGCACAAGAACGTGTTTTTGCCCTTTTTTGAAGTTGAACTCTGTGACGAAGAAGTCAAAACCAGTGTCATTTTTATTTTGCACAAACCTCAACAGAGACTAATATTTATTTTATTTTTGCTTGAACAGAGGGGCAGACCTTCTGTCCAGAGGAAATCCTCCGTACGGAGAATGGACACTCCACCCCCAGGTGTTGCACCAAATATGGCAGAGATTCGGTCAGGTTACCGTAGATCTCTTCGCCTCATGGGAAAGCGCCCACTGCCCACTCTTCTTCTCCCTGACAGACGCGGACGCGCCTCTGGGAGTCGACGCATTGGCTCACCAGTGGCCAAGAGTGCTGCTGTACGCGTTTCCTCCTCTCAGTCTGATTTCCTCCATTCTAATAAGAGTGAGGGAACAGGGCCTGTCTTTGATCTTGGTGGCTCCGATGTGGCCATCCAAGCCGTGGGTGGCAGAAATAATCCAGAGGCTTTGGGACGAACCCTGGCCCCTGCCTGTCCGCAGGGATCTCCTGTCCCAAGCCAGGGGAGAGATTTATCACCCTCACCCAGACCGCTTGTCTCTGTGGGCCTGGCCCGTGAGAGGTGGAATCTGAGCGTGGCAGGCCTGCCCCCAAGTGTCATTGACACCATTCAAAACGCTAGGGCCCCCTCAACTCGCTCTCTTTACAGCTGTAAATGGAGGGTTTTTGAGGGGTGGTGTGAAGAAAAACATGTTATCCCATTTCAGTGTTCGGTGGGGATGTACTCTGTTTTTTGCAGAGTCTGGTGGACAAAGGTAAAGCTTTCTCCACTATTAAGCTTTATCTGGCTATAATTTCTGCATGCCATGTGTGGTTTGGTGACAAACCAGTGGGGCAACACCCATTAGTGAGTCGCTTCATGAAGGGTGCTCGCCGTAAGCTACCAGTCTTTAGGCCACTGGTACCACTGTGGGACCTCTCTCTTGTTCTGGAGGCCCTCTGTCATCATCCTTTTGAGCCGGTAGATGGGGCTGGATTGAAATTTCTCTCTTTAAAAACTGCGCTGCTCTTAGCTTTAACTACAGCAAAGAGAGTGAGTGACCTTCAGGCATGGTCAGTCAGTCCCTCGTGTTTACGGTGGGCCCCTGGCTACACTAAGGTGTGTCTGCGGCCCAATCCAGCTTTTGTGCCTAAAGTAATGGAGTCGTCTTGTAGCTGCTCCCCTGTGGAGCTGCTGGCTTTTCACCCGCCTCCTTTTTCCTCAGCAGAAGAGCAGAAGCTTAATATTCTCGGCCCTGTTCGAGCTTTAAGAGCTTACATGGACAGGACTGCTGGTCTCAGAAAATCAGACCAGTTGTTTGTTTCTTGGGCCACGGCCCATAAAGTCAAACCTGTGTCCCGCCAGAGACTGGCACACTGGATTGTAGAAGCAATCAGCCTTTCAGATAGGTGTAAGGGTGCTGAACCTCCTCTGGGGGTGAGGGCTCATTCTACAAGGAGCATGGCCACATCTTGGGCCCTGCTTCGTGAGGGTGTCAGTCCAGGATATCTGTGCAGCAGCTAGCTGGGCCACGCCGCTAACTTTTGTGTGGTTTTACAGGCTGGATGTGTCTCAACCTTCACTGGTGCATTCAGTGCTGGAGGTAGGTTGCACAGCATCTGCTTAGTGGTTAAGCAGAATTTTGCTGCAGCTCGCTTCGGGAGGGACATGCAATCCGGGAGTGGGCCATATCTCCCGTAGTGAAACACCGAACGAAGTTAGAAAAAGACCGTAGGGTTACGTTATGTAAACCCCGGGTCTCTGATAACAGAGTGAGGCGTTTCACCAGCAGTTCCCTTCTTGCATTAACGGTAAGAAATCGTCCGAATGAGTAGGAGGGGTTGGTTGGCCGTGTATATACTGGGTGGGCGGAGCCTGGGCACGCAAGCGGTCTGTCAGGGACAGACGTGATGTCATTGGAGCTTCTGTAGTTGGTCACGCCAGGGCGATTCCCTGTAGTGAAACACCCCACTCTGTTATCAAAGAACCGGGGTTTACATAAAGTAACCCTACGTTTTCAGTGAACCACATCTTTAAAGGCCAAGTTAACTAAAAATAGTTTTTTACTTTATTTATTTTTATTTTGATTAGTCACTCTGAGTTTCACACGCAGGGTGAACGTGAAAATAGTCTCCTGCATTAGCCGCCAATGGAAAACTGACAGGGAAATGTTTGGATTAGAAAAGCCAGTCAGATCTATGTGACACTGAAAATAAGCATTCATGGACTCACCCATCTTGACTCATGACCGGGGAAGCTTGTTGTTGATTTAGCATCCAGGAAACAGCAGCACGTCTTGGCTAGTAGAAGCTAACCTTTAGCATAAGCCACTCCAGTACATGGCAGAACTCCTTCAAGCTTGTTTTATTTGTGGTTCAACGTTGCAAAGCAAAAAGAGTGAGTGGTAGAATCACGTTGCTGTTATCCAATCAGAGGTGTCTGAATGTCAGGAAATAAGACGCAAATCCTGCCGTCTTCTGCTCCCCTCTGATCTGTCTCACTTGTAGTTCTTTAAACAAGAACCAGAGCTTTATTCTCCACAAAGACGGCATTCATTCATACTAGATACCACTGCAAAGGTATTGAAAAAATGAGTGAACTTGGTCTTTAAAACAACTTCAAAAGATAGCAAAGCCAAAAATGTCAAACTACTTCCTCTACCTCTTTGAGAAACTAACAATTATTTGAGGCATATTAATTTGAAATTGCACACAAATGTTCAAGCATCACTTCAGGCTATCTGACATTAAAAAGACTCCACCTGAACCTCCACATACGGCCATCATTGCTCTGTTCCTGTGCCATTCTTCTGTCACAGTCAGCCCAGCTGCCTCCTTTTTCATTTACACTTCCTGTACAGCAGATGCGGGGGTCCAAACACTGTAATCTATCATCTTTTATAAATAGATTCAAGTTAGTGTCTAGAAACTAGTCAGTGTAAGCTTGAGAGTATTTCCACCCTTTCTTTATTTAGCTCCACATCTTGATTTAACGCAATTATTCCTCTTAAACACAAACATTGTGTGACTAAAACATAGTGGGCATGTTGAGCTGAGTGCAGCTGCGGTTTCATGCGACCATTTTCTCTGACCAGAACCGATCCGAGAGTCACAGAGCACTATGAAACCCTCAGTAGACGTGTGTGTTGTTCTGCAATTTAAGTGTCAGGTGATTTTGTGTGTGTGTGTTTGCCTGTGTGCCAGCGCTGCTGTACGTGCACACCCAGTTATGCAGCATAGATCTGCGAGTTAGCCCTTGAAAAAACATGGAGGTTCATTCACGCCAATACAATGCAAACATTTTCCAGACGGCAGTGGTCCGTATTGATCTGCAGCCAGAGAATTCTTTCTCCTGTGCTTTCACACGTCACACGATGAATCGGATCATTAGCATGCAACAGTATGGAGTTTCCAACATACTGGGAAGACTGGAAAGTGTCAGACTTTAGAGTGACATGTGGTGAATAAAGAAAAAGCTTTACAAAATGGAAAATCACCATTTTATTTTGTTCTTGTGAAGCGCTTCATGATTTTTATCTTGAGAGGTGTTTTATATAAAAATGTGTCTTCTAGCAGTCTGGATGTCCTTTAGGAACCTGCAAGCTGCAGTCGTGTTGTTGGTGGTGCTTTTTCTTTCTTAGCAAAATTCATCAGAACAAAGAAAAAGTGACACAAAGCAGACTCCATCTGGTGTGCGAACCACAGCGAGGTCCATTGATGTGTGTTGTTTAAAACTAAGAAATTGGCATTTGCAGCTGCCAAGCCATGTGATCAATCAGTCTGAATAATAAAGCCTAAAATTACAATCTTGCAGCTCCACCGTCCCCTCCTCCCCCTCTCACTTCAGAGTTTTCCAGGAACACGAGTAACATTTGTTAGTTTTATGCTAAACGTCCTAGCACTAGAAAACTGGCTAGACTCAGCAGGATCAACGATAGCACAAACCCCCTTTTAGAAAAGTAACGTGTTGATTTTTGATTAAGGAGGCTGAGAAAATGTTCTGCTGTAAGTAGGAGTAAGTTTATGTTTCTCATTCAAACTGGATTGCTGTCAGTTTCTGCCACAGCATCCTCCCTAAACCATCCAGGATGGAGACTGATGTGTGGGCAGTCTACGTCTTATGGTCTCGCTATTTTCTTTCTGTTGCTGCACTGGTTTCCTTTTTTATGCTAACAATGACCTGCATCAAGACAGCCTATCAGACGCACTTTCACATAAATGAAAACAATGTGCTGGAGGAAATTCAGCTAACTGATTTGCAGGTTCTCCGTCCTGCTTATGAACTCGATCAGACACAAAAGGACGACAAGCAGATTTCTAATCATTCTGTTTGTAAATGTATCTCAGGATTTTGGTGCAAGGACACCCGTATAACAGGCTGGCATGTTACTGAGCCGACCCCCTCAACCCTGTCAGGACGCCCAGCTTCACACAACTCCAGTTATAAGAAGTTCAACCAGACATCTCCTCACATCCTGATCACTGTTGTTTTTACTTTTCATCCCTCTGCTGTTTCTTTAAGGTGACTCCAAACAAAAGGGCAGAAATAATCGACTGGAAAAAATCCAATAAAGCAAATTGATGTTAAGACCTTACCTTCTGTCGGCACTTCAGGACAACACCATAGGCACCTACAGGAGAAGCAAACCACATGTTCAGACGGTAAACACAGCTGGGATTTCATCTTGATGAAAAGAGTTTTTATTTTGTGTGTCATAAATATGTTTTGGGAGAGTGTCCACATATGCAGCTAGTGTCGGTGATACTGCTGAATTAATTAAACTGCTTCGCCAAAATAAAATGACTTAATAAGAGTCTGTGCTGACTGAAGGTTACAGAATGCGGCTTACGCAGCAAAGGGTTAAATCTTTGTGAGATGATTAGAAACAAAACACGACGTCAGGGCAGTAGCCTCTTATTCACACTGAACACATCATCAGAGTCATCAACAGAACAGCCCTGTGAATTTATCAGGAGCCATCGCTACAGTTCGCAGTGTTATTTTATGTTATTATTTTTATGACAGAACAACTCATTTGCACATTCAGCAAATCATAAACTTGTTTGTCACTTCTTCAATAAAAGCTCAGATTTGTTCATATTAGCAAATTCCACAATCTTCTGTCGTTTACAGTAGATCCCAGTTCTACTCGTGATTTCCTCCTGGCACTCCTTATACAGGAAGTAGAAGTGAGCTAGATCAGCTGCAGATGACAGGATTTGGAGTCTTATTTCCTGATGATTGGACATCTCTTCTCTGATTGGATAACAGCAACGTGACTCTACCACTGACTCAGTTTGCTCTGCAACGCTGATGCTTTATCTCCACAAATAACAGAAGCCTGGAGGAGATTTGCAGTGTGGAGGAGTTTCTGATGCTAACGGTTAGCTTCTGCTAGTCGAGACATGCTCTGCTGTTTCCTGAACAACAACAACCTTCCCTGTTGCGATCCAAGACGGTTGAGTCCATGAATGCCAAATTTCATTGTGGCATAGTACTGATTTGCTCTTCTAATCTGAGCATTTCTCCTTTGATTTTCTAATAGAGGTGGAAGAATATTTTCACATTCAGCCTGCATATGAAAGTCAGAGTGAGCGGTAATACTCAAAAATAAGAAGTAAAACACGGTTTCTCAGTGAACTTGGTCTTTAATAACTAACGCAATACGGATAACAGTTTAAAGCGTTATAAATGATTAATTATAGCAGCAACAACACACTTTTGCCTTGATGTGTTTTCACTAGATCAATCCTGTAGGACCTAAAAGCTATTTGTCCAAACAGAAGCCATTTAGGAAGCTAGCACAGTAATTATTCATTACTTTTACACAGAAGCACACCACAAAGTGGCTGAAATACCAATTTAGCATGCAGCACAATCTGTAGCAGTTGACAAATGTGAAAACATGCATAAGCTTCTGTTAACATGAATTAGTAAAATAACATCCCTATACAAGGGCAAGTGGTTCAGGAAGTAGGGCACAAGTGTTGGCTGGTTACTGTACGTCTGATGTTATTGGCCCTGGCAGTCTCTCTCTCTCTCTCTCACACACACACACACACACACACACACACACACACACACACACACACACACACACACACACACACACACACACACACACACACACACACACACACACACACACACACACACACACACACACACACACACACACACACACACACACACACACACACACACACACACACACACACACACACACACACACACACACACACACACACACACACACACACACACACACACACACACACACACACACACACACACACAGGCATTGGGAAGTTTCTTGTCCCCGACACGGCAACGCTCTGACGCAGTAAATACATTCAAACACAGATTACACACGTCAGAACTAGAACTGATCCTTTCTCTAATGAGTCTCGATCTGCATGTGCTTCACATTACTTGAGGTGTTTTTTATGCGTTAATGGAAACTTGAAGTCTTTCTTAAAGCTACGCCTCTCAGCTTATAGAACCTCAGTGATGACTTACAGTCTGGATGTGGGAGCTGTCACGTTTGTTCTGTTTTAATGCGCTGCTTGGAGGGGCTGCTATTAAAAAAGGCTTCACAGCTCATAACTTCTAAATGAACACTGAAAGCAATGAATCTTTAACAATTCATGTGACAGGAAAAAGAACGCCCTGAAGATAAATAGGGTGGGAAAAATCTGTCATTGATAGAAAATGTTCACCTTAACTTTCTGCGTCTACTTTTCTAGTTACTTGCCTTAAAATATGCTTAAACCAGATCTCAAACGCTGTCAAGTCCCACTCCTTCAGTCAACAGTTGATGACGAGAAACATTAGCAGCACATTTTACTGATTGAATGGGTGATCACTTATCCCATTCTCTGATAATAAACTAGAGATAAACATAGGGCAGTGGTTTTATTCGGTGGAGTGAACCCACATAAAGCACTTAGCACTCAATCATTAGCAGAATTGACTGCTTTCAATGTCACTAGGGAACAGTCAGTGATGCTGGATCCAGAGGAATGTGCCATGTGCAAAAGCAGTGGCTGGATTTGAAGTTAGATAAACATCTAGAGTTTAAAGTGAGAGAGATGACTTCTTTCCCTCTGACTTCTCAGCTTTTAAGTTTTAAACTCCTCTGGTGGCACGTTATACTCACATTTAAATGTCAGAGTTAGGGCGTGAAATCTGGGACAAGTGGATGGTCTCACTTTAGAGCTGCTGCAACTTTACACTAACGTCTCCCAGGGCGGGAGAAGAGCCGGGGGTGGGGGGGGGGGGGGGGGGGGGGTGTCAATAGTTGGAACCAAACGACTTTATTTATTGAGTTCATTCTTAAATGACAGCGACAGACTTCAGCTTCACAAATGATCATATTCTGTGGTGGGACTCACAGGCGGGAACTAAACTCATTTATAGGAAGATTTCAGTTTTAGATCAATTGAAGATTTAAATTTAGCATTTTTAAATGTACTACAGTGTAAAAACAAAACATGCTAGGGAATTTAAAATATGGTAAATGGCCTGCAGTGAATATAGTGCTTTCTAGTTCTCCAACCCCCAAAGGCACTTTACAAAACAACCAGTCATGCACACGCCGGTGATGATGAGCTACAATGTAGCCGCAGCTGCCCTGGGGCGCACTGACAGAGGCAAGGCTGCAGAGGTCAATTTGACCACCACCAGCAGGCAAGGCAGGTTTTTAAATGTGTCTTGCCCAGGGACACAATGACTTTGACAGATGGGGATCAAACCTGCAACCTTCTGGTTATGTGGTGGGCACTTAACTCCCTTGCCTCTGAGGGTTAGGGTTAGCAAGCATAGTGCATCAACAGAGGTAACAACAGATGTGAATGATCCAATAACATCCCATCCAGTTGGTGACTGTTTCAAAGGCGGTGCTGACTTGCTGACTGGAGGACTAGAGTGATACTCTAAACATGTTTGTGTTCCCAATCAATCCAAATTAAACGGGGTAATAATCAGATTTCTTTGTACTATGTTAAGCTGAAAAGTCATCTTACCTTCACCCACAATCCCAAGGACTTCAAATTTATTCATCACATCACCAATGTCAGGGATCTTCATGAAGTCAAAGGTGGGATGTGTGAGGTGCATGGAGCTCAGGCACACAGGCTCTGGCTACAGGATGGTGACACGCGGCAAGCTGGTGGCTCCAGAGACGTGTGCACCTAGTGTTAGCCATAATATCTGCTGCATGCCTTCTTTAGTGGCTCTTCTTCACCTGCACAAAAACAATGCACCAAATTAAAATGTTGACAGAGTACTCTTCACCCAAGCCGGCTGTCGGTACAATGAGGGAGACATGTTTGAAAAGTACATCATAAGAGAATGGCTACTTCAACCGTTTCACAGATGAAAGGGTACGATGTCCACTGAGATGCTAAGTGTTCCAAACTGAGAGGCTGAGAGACTGGGTAGGCCTATCAGGATCTGCTCTGGAGTGGTTCTCCTCTTATCTCTCTGAGTGCTCCTTTTCTGTGGCCGTCTCCAAGTTTAGGTCCTCCACCACCTCTCTTACCCATGGTGTCCCACAAGGTTCTGTGCTGGGGCCTCTACTCTTCCTCCTCTATCTGCTTCCTCTTCAGCACATCCTGAGCTCCTTCAAAGGAATCTCCTACCATCTTTATGCAGATGACATCCAACTGTACATCTCCTTTAAGCCCCATGAGATGTCTAAGCTGCAGCTGTTACACACCTGCTTAGACTCTATCAAAACCTGGATGGTGGGAGCTTTCTTCAGCTGAATGAAGATAAGACTGAGATCCTCATCTGTGCCCCAGACAAGCTGGTTCCCAAAGTCAGAGACTCTCTTGGTCAGCTTGTTTCCCACACCAAACCTTCCGTCAGGAATCTTGGCGTGACCTTTGACCCAGCTCTCACCCTGGATTCTCATGTCAGTTCTCTTGTTGGCTCTTCCTTCTTCCATCTCAGGAACGTTGCTAAGCTGAGTCCCATTCTGTCCCGCTCTGAACTTGAGACAGTTCTCCACACCTTCATCTCCTCACGCTTAGACTACTGTAACTCTCTTTTCACGTGTCTGAGCAGAACCTCCCTGAACCGTCTACAGGTGGTTCAGAACGCCTGTGCTCGGCTTCTGACCAAGTCCTCCAAACACACCCACATCACCCCGCTTCTCCTCCAGCTTCACTGGCTGCCAGTCAACTTCAGGGTTCATTTCAAGATCCTGGTTCTGGTCTCTAGGACCTTACATGGACAAGCACCATCTTCCATTGGTGATCTTCTTAGTCCCTACACCCCCAGCAGGTCCCTGAGGTCCAGTGATCAAAGCCTACTGGTTGTGCAGCACCAGGCTAAAGGTCAAAGGTGACAGATCATCTGCTGCAGTGGCCCCCAGACTCTGGACCTCTCTCCCCCTGAGCCTGAGATCAGTGGACTCAGTGGTCTCCTTTAAAAAGCAGCTGAAGACTCACTTGTTCAAGCTGGCTTTTGTATGACCTTCTTCACCTCTCTCTCTTTATTCTGCTCTCCCCACCTATTCCACCTTCCTCAGGATCCACTGGTTCCCCTCTTTCCTGTTCACTCTCTCTCTTTCTTAACTTTGTTTAATCACAATTGTCTGTTTTGGCTCATTTTAAATATATTTTTAACCATTTTCTGAATAATTTTTTATATTTTTACATTTTTTGTTTTTGTGAAGCGCCTCGTGATTTTTATCTTGAGAGGCGCTATAGAAATGATATTTTTTCTTCTTCTACTAGTCTAATATGGTGGCTTATGAATAAGTGTACTATCAACACACATAAACTGCCCTCACCATGATGCATGGAAGGGTCATCAACGGAGTTATGATCTCTAACTATTTAATGATAAACAACGTGATCAAAATTGGGGCAGAAGAGGCTGAAATAACTCCCTAAAATCCACAGATTCATGGCTCCCTACAGTTCATCAAAGCCTGTATTTAACCCTTTTCCTTCCAATTTATGAAGTTTTTCACCATAAAAAGGACCTCTTACACCACGATCTATAAATTAAATGTTATACAGGCAGTTGAAAGCATATTAAGCAAAGGCAGGAATTTAAAACATTTAACAGTTTGTAACTCATACTAATGCAAATTTATGAGAAAAAATACTTTAAAAAAGCCTCAGGCGTGATTTCTTCCAGTATTCCTACCTTGTTAGGGAAAATGAAACAGCCCCACACATTCCTCGTGATCAAAGCACCTCCTCAGGTTTCCGTGTGCTCTTTACGCTTATTGAATCAGATAAGACTCCAGATACCACTTTCTCCATTTCATCCTCTTTGCTGGTGAGCTGAAGGACTTTGTGTAGCCTACTCACACTCCCGATCTCCTACAGAGCTGTGGGCGCAGGAACTGCTCATCACTATGCAAAAGCCTTGGCACCAGAAATAAACTCTGTCTTCCAGATTGCCAAATAGTGCTGTGTGGTCCCCTCTTACTCAGCAACTATCCACTGATGAAGGTAAACTAAAGCCTGACTAAACTTAAACATGTTGAGTAATTTGTAAATGTGTGTGTTCGTGTCCTTTACCTAGAATGCCGGGTTGGTATGCAGCCTTTTCTACCAAGCCCACAAAGCTCGTATGATGAGGAATGAGCTGCCGGATCATATATTTTGTCCTATAAACAGAATGAGTCATGCGTGGCAACAGACTGAACGCAAAGAATTCACAGTCCAACCTTTTCATGAGACCACCACACTGTTATCAGCCCAAGGTCAGATGTTTTACCTGCGTTTCCATTAAAAGATCCTGAACAATTTCACCTGTCTTAGAAAGTTCTTTGAATGACCTCAGTTTAGAAAAATAAAGATTAGTTCTGACCAAACTTGTGAGCAAACAGCTAGTCTGGATGGATCGAGTTGCAAAGTGTTACTGTTTTAAAACTCTAACTTGGAAAGTTTCATAGTAGCCCGCCCACACGTTGTTTCATAAAGTTTAACTCCACAATGAAGTCCACATTATGCAATTATCTGGGTTCAATTGGTTAGATTTAAGAAACTCATGTGGGGAAATTCCATCCAGTTTCTATCCAGCTGGAAATTCTTAATAATTCTGCCAGAATAACCATGGAAGTCATAAAATAACCTAAACGTACAATAAGTAAGAATTTAACAGACTAATGTCTCAATCATGTTGGAAGGAAGATTGAAACAGATTTCCTTCTCAGTTGGCAGCGGGGTGATGAGGATAAATGATAAATGACCCACACGTGTACAGCGCCTTTTAGAGTCAGAAGACTCCAAAGCGCTTTACAGCGTAGCATTCTTCCATTCACAAATATTCATGTGCTGGTGGTGCCCTGTGGCTCACTGAGACCAGCACCAGCAGGCAAGGTGAGTTAAGTGCCTTGCCCAAGGACACAACAACAGCAATCTCCACCAGGAGCTGGGATCAATCCGACAACTCTCCGATCACTGGACAACCCGCTCCACCTGCTGAGCCACTGCTGCCCGGTGGGATTGGGACTGGCCAATTCAGCTTCATCAGTGATAGGTCAGGACTTCCATGTGGACGTTTAAATGTTTCTGAATCAAAATGTTCCATCAGAAACTGTAAGAAGACAAAAGGTTTTGTTTAACAGTTTCACGTTGGATACAGCAGAGTCTGCCCAGCAGATCATGGATGTACAAGCTTTCTACACACGGTTATTGGTCCTCAGAACTGAAACCTGTGCATCACTGATGCTCTGTCAACAAGAATGTGTGTATTTACATTTATATGTTTCTGCTGGGTGATCCATATTGAGCATTTACCAGATTGGTATTGTGAATGTTGGAATAGAAAAATATAGCTACAACATCGTGCAGCTCTTAGACAAACAGACTCCTTCAAAGTAAAATATTTAAAAACCGGCACCTGTCCCGCTGCTTTCATTGCAAATCTTTTATGTAAACACCAGGATAAATCTGGCTCTGTGTGTGTGTGTGTGTGTGTGTGTGTGTGTGTGTGTGTGTGTGTGTGTGTGTGTGTGTGTGTGTGTGTGCGTGTGTGCGTGTGTGCGTGTGTGTGTGTGTCCACGAATGAAATGTTTGCCATTGCAGAGCTGTAAATCCTGCAAGTCCAACACACTCCAGCTAACTTATTACAAACTGCCTGATTGGCTCACTAACCCAGACCGGTGCAGCCGGCTCGGTTGTCACCAGACCAGCTGTCTTTATTCTGACCCACTGAACATTAAAACACCGCTAAACGAACCCAGGCTTGCCTGCTTTTGTATTGCATTGTTTCAGCTATGTGAAAATATTAGCATCCTACAAACACATCACAAGTCTGGATGAGTACGGAGATTATGAAGTACTCACTCAGTCAGTGTTTTGGGGAGAAGACGACGGAACCGGGCCCGTGCATATCCACCCACCAACGACGGTATTTTCATTGCAGCAAGCCCTTCCAGTAACTGGATGGTGTGGTTGACAAGCTGCAAGTGCGTCACTAGGCAACAACTTGATTGACGTTAGGGCCACCAATGAAATGGCTGCTAGGTAAACGCCCTCTTCGTCAGAGCCAATAAGAGAGCGGCATGGCTCCAGGAGGGGAGAGAAGACCGTGCTGCGGTCTGAGGGGGTTTAGTTTGAGGTGGGAAATTATTGTTCCAGTTTCTCTGTTACATAATTCCTTGAATCGCACCCCGAGTCCAGTGTGACCGCCGCATTTACCTACGAGTTACAGCCGCGGAGAGCGTGCTGTGTGACGGATGTGAGCGGCTAGCAGCCCGAGATCATTTATAATGAAGGGTAAAGGAAACACGACAGGTGTGCAAAAAGGGACTCACGTTTCTCTGCTGGCATCAGTTGGATGTGAGAGGGTTTTGTTGAAAAGTGGCATGCCCCTTTTAAAAACTAACTCAAACTCAAATAAAAAAGATTAAACCCTGCTATTAAATGTAACATTACGTGTGAATACGTGGCATTAAACAGCTTTATCTGCAACACTCCCCCGTCAATAAAGCCGCAGCTGTGTTTGTTTTTGTCCATTATTTTAACTTCTCAACCAAACTTTCTCAGCTGTGCTGACTAATGCTGCCACCCACAGGATGGGGATTCATCACCAGAACAATCCAGCAGCAGGCAGATCATCAAATCAAATGAAAATAGAAGCATGGAGGGTTTTAATGTTCATGCTGGATGAACAGCAAAGAAAAGGAACTTTAAAATGTGTAGATGTTTATCAGGTTAGAGACAGGTGGATAGTGGGTGATGAGGATGGATGGGATCAGGAAGGAGGACATCAGAGGGACCGCTCAGTAGCTGTTTGGGAGATAAAGTCAGAGAAGTCAGATTGAGAAGGTTTGGACATGTCCAGAGAAGTGAAAAGGAGACGGATGCTGAGGTTGGAGCCACCCAGCAGGAGGCTGAGAGCAGGACCTAAAAGATTTGTGGATGTGGGGGAAGAGAACATAACGTTAGTTGGTGGAGGATGTAGAAGATAGAACTAAATGGAGACAGATTATTGACTGTGGAGAAACCTAAGGGGACAAATCCAAAGAGAAAGTAGTTGTCTGTCAGATCAAACCATGGACAATGGGCTTGGTGGCAATAAAATTGGATGTTTTGATCACACACTCAGATTTTGGTTTGTATCTGTTCTGGGTTATTTTAGACAGCCTAGCAGTGGTGACTACTTCCTTCATGTGTTTCTTTGTTCTTCTGTTAATCTACCAAACAGTACACTACCAAAAGCTAAAACACTGTAGGCTGCTGAAAAGTACTGTAAAAGATTTTCAGCATTCCAAAATAAAAAAATTAGGTAGTAGTAGTAGTAGTAGTAGTAGTAGTAATAGTAATAATAGTGGTATTTTCAATTTTCAAGAAACCCCTGAAGGCCCTGCACTTCAGAGAGCATCTTCTAAACTAGCACCTTCCCTGCACCCCCCCCCCCTCTACTGTCCACTCCTTTGTTCCTTCCTCTCCATGACTGATGTCCAGTTGTTGTTATTGTTGTTGTTGTTGTTGTTGTTGTTAGCCTCAAGGGCAACATGCCGATTATCACTTGTAAGTCACGCTGGACAGAAGTGTCTGCTAAATAAATAAACATAGTGGTAGTAGTAGTAGTAGTAGTAGTAGTAGAAGATGAAGTAGTAGTAGTAGTAGTAGTAGTAGTAGTAGTAGTAGTAGTAAAAGAAAAGAAAGAAAGAAAGAAAGAAAGAAAGACAGAAAGAAAGAAAGAAAGAAAGAAAGAAAGAAAGAAAGAAAGAAAAAAAGAAAAAAAGAAAGAAAGAAAAAAAGAAAGAAAGAAAAAAAGAAAAAAGAAAAAAGAAAAAAGAAAAAGAAAGAAAAAAAGAAAAAAGAAAGAAAGAAAGAAAGAAAAAAAGAAAGAAAGAAAGAAAGAAAGAAAGAAAGAAAGAAAGAAAGAAAAAAAGAAAGAAAGAAAGAAAGAAAGAAAGAAAGAAAAAAAGAAAGAAAGAAAGAAAGAAAGAAAGAAAGAAAGAAAGAAAAAAAGAAAGAAAGAAAGAAAGAAAAAAGAAAAAAAGAAAAAAGAAAAAAGAAAGAAAGAAAGAAAGAAAGAAAGAAAGAAAAAAAGAAAGAAAGAAAGAAAGAAAGAAAAAAAGAAAGAAAGAAAGAAAGAAAGAAAGAAAGAAAGAAAGAAAGAAAAAAAGAATGAAAGAAAGAAAGAAAAAAAGAAAGAAAGAAAGAAAGAAAATGATCTTATATAAATCCTCTCAAGATAAAATCAAGAGGAGCTTCACAAAAACAAAACAAAAATATTAGATTAAATAAAAGATTTTTTTAAAGATTCAAAATATGTTTACAATGAGAAGAAATAAAAATTGTAATAAATAAATCAAGGAGAGGAAAAGTTTTAATCTAAATTTGGTTTGAGTCCAAACATGTTGTGTTGTAGATTATAAATGGTACTACTGACTAAACGTAGTTCAGTGATGATAAAGGGGTTTCTCTAACCTGTTTTCACATTGAAAGGCTGATAATGACCCAGATTGATGCTTTCATATTTTACATGGTTCAGAAACACAGCTGTTAATACAGCGGTTCTCAACCTCCCAAGGAGGTCCCCGCAATCTTATGAGATGAGGTTTTGAGGTCACAAATATTTAATTTGTAAAAATTACATTTAAATCCCAACAACAGACAGTGTAATCAAGACTCCATGCAAGAGGTAAAACGCTGTACGTCCGCATGAAGTTTGTAATTAATCACTTTAGATGTGTTTATGGGGGTAAGAGTTGAGTTGGGGGGCCCTGGCTCAGGAATCACTTATCTATCATATTCTGTTTAAATGAGGCAAACGTCCTTTGCTCCTTTATGGTGCAATTATAACTCTAAAAATATGCATTTATGATCAAATGTATTTGTTCTGTTAGATACTGAAAATTATAAAATCAATTAAAAAATAATAATTCATTCTAACGTTTTTGTAATGATGCAACTTTTTATTTGAAAAGAAAAACACAACATCAGCGATGTGTATAATTTGTATATGATGAACGTTCAAATAGTGAGATTCTCAGAAGAAATATTAACAGATTTTGTTCAAAATAATGAATTTAAGGTGTTAATATGTTGGATGTAACCATGGACGTCGGATTGAGAGATGGGGGGGGGGGGGGGGGCTTAGCCCCAGGAGCTTGACCTTGAACATTTTTTTCACACCCTGCAAAAACTTTGTCAATTAATTCATTATATGAAGAACATTTAACAAAACCTATTATTTTATCACTTTCTTTTCCTTTCCTACCTTTGTGCATTTTCTCTCTTCTTTTTATAAATAATAACACTTAATCAGTTCACTAGTGGGGTCTATGTTGAAGAAAGATTTTATATAAGTCCATTAAAAATTAGATAAGTTATATTTCCAAATAAAGCTATTCATTTCAGTCTACTGCACTTAACAGGGGGAAATGTTGCAGTCATTTGTTTAATTTATTTAATTACAACTTGCTTAATTATAAATGTTACTGAAATATGACAATAAAGAACAAATTAATAATTGTCAAACTTTTATTCTGCCAAATGAGTGTGCAGTTGACAGTTTTAATATATGAATAACACTGCTATGATATGGAATAAAGGAGTATATAATTAACTATTACAAGACAAAATAACAGTATATATAAAAATTAGAGCTGGGACTTGATTAAAAATTTTAATCTAATTAATTAGAGGTTTTGTAATTAATTAATCTAAATTAATCACATTTTAATCGTTCAGGAAAATGTGCTCTCAAAGCAAAACTTAATTAAAATTATGAGACAGAGAATTAAACATTAGACATGGTTATTACTGTAAAACTAAAGCTTTTAATAAAAAAATGCATTTTAATTATTCAAATGTCACTGTGTGATATGAAACAAGACCCAAATCAACTAAAATTTATAATTACAAATAGAAAACGCCTGCAAAGGGTTCCTGAGCCTTTAAATAGTCTCTGTCTAGTTGAATGACTGAAATAAATTTGACTTTGCACCAGATTCTAATTTTTCCAGTTTTACTTGTTTGTTTAATTGGGAGTTTTTATTAGCATTTCTGCTCATAATGTAGTAAAACACATTAATAATAATCCTTCAAAATGACAGTAGAACAGGCACAAATATGATCTAGGACTTAAATGTAATAACTTTTAACACCAGAGCAGAAATGACATGTTCTGAGAATGATCAGGAACACTAACTGGTTCCAGTTGGATGACTGGAGGATGATGGGATGATAAAAGATCATGGCGAGGAAATAATGATGTGACGAACAGGTGAGCGGACCTTCCTTACATGGGAAGTCCTGATGTCACGTTAAAAAGGGGATGCAGCAGACCCGCAGATTCACGCCTGCAGCAGCGAATCTGGTGTGATCTCCAGCCTGATCACCACTTCCTCGTTCCTCGCTGCCCCTGATGCACTTAAGCATCCGCCCCTTAGCTGATGACAGCTTCAACACACCTGCTGCTTAATGATTGTAATGCATGTGATGATGTTTAGACAGAGACTCGTCTCAGAAACGTATAACTCCCCGACAGCATTGTTTAGAAAGTCATCAGAAAAGTTTCAGAGTGTTTCTGTTTTAACTTAAACTTCTGTTTTCAACTTTAAGACACGTTGTTTGTGATTGTTTACAGAGTAGTGAGAACACGGAGCGTTCTCCAGCGGCAGCCAGGTACCTCTCGTTTGTCTGACTACTTTCATAAACTACTGTTAGGGCACAGAATTATTCTGTCTGGTGCTTTCAGCGCTGCACAGATGTTACGTAAATGTTAAAAATATAGCTTACCGCAACATTTGTAAAGTTTCCGGTGCCACCGGGCAGCCGCAGCAGAGACGATCTCTGAAAAATGTCCGCGACACGACTCCGTTGTTGTCTGGAAGTTTTTATTTTCAAGTTAAGAAAAGAGGCAGACGTGTTTCCTAAATCCTGCATCAGTCCAAGCAAGGCAACTTCTTTCTGTTTTTATTCCGTTTTAGTAGCCATTAGCACTGTGCATTGTTGTGTGCGTCAGTGATATTCTGTCTACGAGGAAGTCGTGCAATGACAAAGGTTCCGCCTCGCTCGAAATGCAAGCTGCGATTAAATGCGTTAATTTTTTTAACGTGTCGTTTTTTCTAATTAATCATAATAACGCGTTAAAGTCCCGGCCCTAAAAAAACTCAAAATGATAGGGGGGGGGGGCTTGTGTGATAAAAACGGACCTAACGACGTCAGCGGATGTAACAATGATTCATGTGTTTGATAAACTGTTCTGTCCTGTTTTTAATTGTTTATTTGCTTTTGTTTGTAATTGGATTTTAATTAAAGGAGCCTGATTGAATTTTATGTAGTTTTATAACGACACTAAGCTCCCTTCCAAATAGTATTTAATGTAATTTCACTGTCATTTATTGATTGGTTGACTGATTAGTGTTATTTTGCTACTGTTCAAAACCTTTTATTATTATTTGGACTGAATTATTATTGTTAGGCAGATTTATCAATAGAAAAACACATTTCCTGTTACAAAATCAAATTAATAAGTAACTGTTTTCACAAATGTTTCTCTTTTATTGCTAAGGGCTTTTCGTTCAGTTCAGTTCAGTTCATTTATATTTCAAACATTTCACACATGTATCATTACAAAATATAATTCCATCATTTGTTTGAAAAGGAGTAGGCAGAAGTATTTACTTATTAGTCCCTACCCCCAAGTTTTACCTCTTATTCATTTAATTTTCTTTCAGTCGTAAATTAAACAACAGAAGGAATATATATATATATATATATATATATATATATATATATATATATATATATATATATATATATATATATATATATATATAAACAAAACAACATATGGAAAACAGAGAATGTGTAAATTTGCAGATTCACCAGTTATGGAGTAAAAAAGAAAAACCGAACAAACCAAAAAACACCGAAAAAGAAGCACAACCAGCCACATTTACCGTCCTGGGTTATCCCTGTTTTCTTCATTCTTATACTTATTTAAAATTAGGTTTTTATATTTTACTTTAAACTGGTTTATGTTTTTACTTTCTTTCATCTCTTCTGTTGGACTGTTCCATAATTTAACTCCTGCAATTGCGATTGACATTGTTTTTAAAGTTGTTCTAGCACTTTGTATTTTTAAATTCCATTTCCCTCTTAAGTTATACCCAGCTTCTCTTTCACCGGTTTTGTAAATGGGAATAACTTTAGCCACTTTCATATCCTGAGGAAAAACCCCTTTTGAAACGACAAATTGAATATATATGTTAATGGTTTTACAATACCATCAATGACTGTTTTTACTGTTACCATATCAATATCATTCCAATCTGTGCTGGTTTTGTTCTTAAGTCCTCTAACTATGTCATAGATCTTTCTCTTCCACTGCTTTCAGAAACATTGAGCTTTTATTCCTTTCAATATTTTCACCAGTGTCCCTTTCTATTCCATCAACCTTTATTTCTTCTGCCAGTTTCGGCCCTGTATTTACAAAGAATTCATTAAAACCATTTACTGTCTCCTTCCTATTATTAATGCTTCTTGTCCCTTCCATAAAGTACCCAGGGTAGTCATTATTCCTTGATTCATTTTTGATTATGCTGTTTAATACCTTCCACACACCAGAACTGTAAAGTTACTACTTTTGTACTGAAACACATATTTATTATCATCAGCTAACACGTGTGATCTTGAGACTTGTTCAAAAATACACATTTACACCTGAATATCCTGGTTAAACACTAAAGATAAGGTACAAATAAATCCTTGTGATTGGTATTTGTAACAAAGGGAATTATTATTATTATTATTATTATTATTATTCCTTTAATACCCTGATTCGAGGCTTTTAGACATGATTGGGTTTATTATTGTGACTTTGCTGTGAAAAAAAGATGTTTATTCATGGAAACGTTTGTGGATGGGGGCAACACATGAGTTTGAAACTAAAACAATACACTGAATGTGAGTCCTGTGTTCTTTAGTAAAAGTGAAAGCCGGCCACAATTCCTTATGCTTAAACAAATGAAAATAAGTTATTTTACAAATGTTAATGTTAGACGAAGCTGCCTATTAAACCACCAAATATTAAAATCAGCTTGAGGGAAAACTCAAACAAAACAAAACAAAAAGAAAAACAACAAAATACTTAAGTCCTTTTTATGCGTCTTTCTGTACGAGAAATTTGTGATTTGTTTCAGCGTTTTTTGTTGCATGCAGGTTTTATAATTTATGTTTTTAAAAGTCGCATGGCTTTGAAATAACCGGTTTAGTTTGGTTGATTAGGTTATTACTTCTTTTTTAACTTGGTTTTACGTTTCTTATTTATTTTTTTCTGTTTTGAGGAGGAACAGGAAAGACCTTGTAGAGATAATATAGAATAACGAGGACTCACTCTAATGGATTTCTGAAATCCCAAAGCACTGTTCAAGTGTCTCGGTCAGTGATTGGATAATGTTAATAACCTTTTTTCTGATTGGATGCATGGGTGAATAGCGCAGAGTCTCGTTGGCCAACTGAAATGGCCTGCATGTGTGTCCTCTGCACACAACTATCTTCGGCATAAATTACGTGCGTGTAAGCATACACTACATTCGTGAAAAATGGCAGCTGACGAATAAAAAAGTGGATCTTCAGTCGAAAAAGGACGTCACTTGTAAGTTCGTTTTAAAAAAATAAATGGCAAGTATTTTAGGGAAATTGTAAGTTGGAGCTCGTTGACGCGAGTTTGTTTATTTTTTCCTTCAGTAGACACAAGAAACTGCTCTCGGAAGGTTAAAGCTAAGGTTAGCCATCCTAGTATTAGCCAGCAGTAATGGCTATTGAATCAAGCGGTTCCAGTTGTCAACATTGGGCCCTGGCTATTTACCGCAGCTGTATTGCGTTAGCGTAGCTTTCGTGATCAGAAATTAAAGATAAACATATTTTTCAACACAACATTTATCCTAAAGTTCAGCTTTCTCCACAGTTTGGCCACGCTTGCAGTTAACATCCGAACGCCGATGGGTGAACTAAGCTAACAACAATAAATGTCAAGAAACGTTCAAGATTCAGAATTAAATAAGTAGAAACTGCGTTGTTAGTGTTTAGTGATTTAAGGCAACATTGAAATATATTTTTTACATTTTGAGTATAATATATAGGTAATAACGACGTTCTGTCGGTGGTATTTTGTATTATTAGTGTAGTTTAAAATTTGCGTTAGTTTTTAAATTAAACGGTCCTTTAAACAGTGGGAAAGCTGTAACATTGTCCTATTCACGTTTTCAATAAGGTGGATGGGTCGTGTTTTAGCGCTCACCCGAAACCAACAACATAATCACAGTTTCGGTAAGAAAACGGAAAATATGGGTGAATGTGAACAGTTGGACAGTAAAATCATGTCCCAGTACCCGCAGACCTGCTGTGGATCTCATAAATACATGAAAAAACATCAACATGCTGCTAGCTTCCTGTCCCAGTGGTGGGGTAGATTACTGAAAACTAAATTACTGTACACCACATGTTTAAACGTGACGTTACTTAGTTACACATCAACATTTCTGTTTGCAAACTGCATCATCACACCTTTTTCTCCGGTTTGTGTGCAAGCTGTTTTCTGGCTTATCAGCTGACCTTAAATGTATTATTATTATTATTATTATTATTATTATTATTTACCATACAACAATGGCTACCAAACCTTTAGAAGTTTTATCCGCAGAATGACATCTGCGGGGTCTTGCATCCACCAATCAGTGCAAATTGAGTTTACAAACATTTCTAAAAGAAAAACAAGTTAGGGCATAATGAGATGATCAGCAGCTTTGGCTTATTTTGTCAGAATTTTAGCAATTGGTTATATTTTATACTAATTTTAGTGGAAAATATTCTATTTAGAAGTCTTTTTATTGGGTATGTGAATATCATCTCATGATCCCATACTGATGGTTTGCTACCCAGCAGTACTACCGATGTAGTTGAACTTTGTTTTTTATGTTTTGTTGCTGTTTACATGCTAAGCTGCACATGTTTTATTAATAACGCCTATTACTCTAATTTGTGTGATTATAAAGTGTGTCCTTTTGTTGTATTTGCAGGGTAACACTGGCAGACACCAACTGGGTGAACGTCCTGCACCCTGTTCAGAAAAGCATCATCACTGCTAATCTGTCACCATGGGGAAAACTCCTGTAAAAGGTGAGGATGCCCTTGTGTGAGGAAACCTTTAGTCCACAGTCTGGACATTTAGTAGCTAAATGATCCAGATTAGCTAGTGGGGAATTGGTTTCTCCTGCACGCTGGTTTGTCTCTCTGCTCACATTTAAATTGCTTGATTTAAAAATAATAAAACGGTTTAGTCATGTTATTTCCTTCCAAATGAGGTTTTATACCTCTGTGTTACAGAAATTTTATCCCAGTTGAGTTCAAAACTGCTAGGTATTGCTTAGTTGTTTTTTTTTTTTTGCATGTTCATTTAATGAAATATCATGTTTTATATATTATTTGTTTAGGTTGAGATGTAGATAAAAAAAAATATGATTTCTCTGTGTTTACCCAAAATAAAATTTCTGTGTCTGAAACAATAATAAATAAATAAGTGTTTTATAATTAAATAAGTTATTTTTTTCAAGTTCTTGTAAGAGTTCTTTGACCAGTTTTGTTAAACTGATAACATATCTCTCTCATTTCATTTTAAATCTATTTAGATCAGAAAGATGGCAGAAAGGAGAAAGCAGGAAAAGTGGTTCCACCACCAGGTTCCACCCCTGCTCCACTCAAAGGTCTGAGATTTAAATCTGTTCTTGAATCAGGAGATTCATTTGTTCACATGAACTAGGACCTTTGGCTTGTTGTACAACATCTTCTTTTAGTAATATTTTGCGAGCTAATACATTTGAATACATTGCTTTTTTAAAGTTAGTTATTACAGTTGGACTTTTCATTTAGATGCTTTCAGCTGGGAAGAATATCTGAAGGAAACGTCTTCCACTCCAGCTCCACCTGGTTGTTTTCGACAGGTAAGCTTTTGCAGAAGTTAGATTTTTATTCAGATTCCTTTCTGTTATTTGCATTTAAAAAATTAACATAATCCAGTCGGAAGTTAGTTATTTTGTGATGGGAAAGCTTTACAGGGACATCCTCTAATAGCTGTACTAACTTTGAGTGTTTGAGTGCCCAGACACTTGGGCTAGATCCTCCAGGGGAATCCCAAGGTGTTCCCTAGCCAGCCCTCCAGCGTGTCCCGGGTCTCCCTGTAGGCCTCCTCCTGGTTGAACGAGCCTGAAAAACCTCACCAGGGAGGCGTCCAGGAGGCATCCTGACCAGATGCCTGAGCCACCTCAACTGGTTCCGCTCAATGTGGAGGAGCAGCGGGTCTACTCTGAGCCCCTCCCGAATGATCGAGCTTCTCACCTATCTCTAAGGGAGAGCCCAGCCCCTCTGCAGAGAAAACTCATTTTGGCCGCTTGTATCTGGTATCTCGTTCTTTCGGTCGCTACCCAAAGCTCGTGACCATCGGCGAGGGTAGGAACGTAGATCAACCGGTAAATCGAGAGCTTCACGGCTCAGCTCTCTCGTCGCTGACAGATGGGTACAACGCCTGCATCACTGCTGGCGTAGTACCAGTCTACCTGTTTATCTCACGCTCCGTCTTTCCCTCACTCACGAACAAGACCCCGACATACTTCACTCCTCCACTTGAGGCAGGACCTCGTCGCTGACCTGGAGAAGCTGACCTCCTAGGGGCCTGTGTCCACGCTCCTTGCACTTCTCAGACCTTTTTGTTATTATTTATAGACGCTTGGCGTTGAGTTTAATTTAAAATATTTGTTGTTGTCTTTCTTTTTTTAGGATATTTGACAAGATTTTTATTTAATTAATTTTTATTGAATTAACATTTTTGTAACTTGGTTTCTGTTCATTACAGTCGACTAATCTCTCATAGCTAGATATGTTTTTTTTTCTTTTAAATCAAACCAAATCCAAGTTCGGGTCCTGGAGGTCAAGACCGTGGTCTCAGATTTAGAGGAGCTGATTCTCGTCCCAGCTGCGTCACACTCGGTTAGAACCGCTCCAGCGAAAGCTGAAGATGACGGACATCATCTGTAACGAGCAGAGACGAGTCCCCTAGCAGAGACTCTGGCCTGAAACTGTTGTTTAAATTTAAAACACAAGCATAGTTTATTTTTATCTGCAGGCCAGAGTCCCCCCCTCCAACGACTTCAAGGTAGGAATGAAGCTTGAAGCGCACGACCCACGTAACTCCACCTCGGTTTGCATCGCCACGGTGATGGGTTTAACTGGAGTCCGCCTGCGTCTCCGTCTGGATGGAAGTGACAACAGCAACGACTTCTGGCGGCTGGTTGACTCCTCTGATATCCAGCCCATCGGCACGTGTGAAAAAACTGGAGACATGCTGCAGCCACCACTGGGTATGAAAGGGGCGAGGGGGCGTTGGCATGCTGATGATGATGTTATAGCTGTCACATTCATCTTGTGTTGTTTCCTTCAGGTTTCCGAATGAATGCCTCCTCTTGGCCCATGTTTCTCCTGAGAACCTTAAACGGAGCAGAGATGGCACCAGTGACAGCCTTCAAAAAGGTTTATATCATCTTTGCTAAATGTTTCTATCCAAACGGAGTGGGGAAACTTAGCTTTTATCTTCTGTTTTGTTTATTTAGGAGCCTCTAAGGCCCCCCCAGAACAGTTTCAAGCCAGGCATGAAGCTTGAGGCGGTGGATAAGAAGAACCCATACCTCATCTGTCCCGCCACCATCGGGGAAGTGAGGGGGGAGGAGGTGTTTATCATGTTCGACGGCTGGCGGGGAGCCTTTGATTACTGGTGCAAGTATGACTCCCGGGACATCTTCCCAGTGGGCTGGTGTACTCTCACTAAACACAGCCTCCAGCCTCCGGGCAACAGCGGTGAGTAGCCTGTAGGTGGCAGCAGATGTTTGTTTCTACCACTCCGAAGTACACCTCATTTCCTGCTCCTCGTCTTAATTTTCTCCTTTAATTATTTGTTGCAGTAACTCTCCCAAAGAGCCTACAGATTCTCCCGTCGTCACCCTCCAAACCCAGCAGGCGCTCCATGCAGTCACCCTACAGACTGCTCACCCCTCTGCCCCCTCTGCCCGTCAGGAAGGGGGTGAGAGGTCGCCGGCCCAAGAGTGAGACCCTCGCTCTACTCAAAGCGGTGGCAGAGGCAGCAGCTGCTCACAACGGATCGGTCCCGGAGGACACTCAGCTTGTGCCCCGGGTCCACAAGAAGAGAGGACCCAAACCCGGAAGCAAGGTGACGCTAGCTGTGCCGACCAGTGCTCGTTGTGTCTGGCTTTATTTTCTTTATTCTGTTCTTAGAATGCGTGAAAATACAGGTTTTGTTTTTTGTTTTGCAGAGAAAGTCAAAAATTCTGCAAAGCCCAACACACCTGCCCAGCATCCAGGTCCCACAGGAAAGCCCCCCCAGCCACAACTCCGTGGTTTCTACAGGTAGTTATTCAGAGTGCTTCCCAGTTAGCTTCCAGACCTCGTGCAGACAGCTGATCTCTGCGTGTTTCTGTGCCTCGCCTCAGTGTGCGTGTACGTGAACAAGCACGGGAACTGTGGTCCTCACTTGGACAGGAAGCAAATGCAGCGTCTGTCTGACCACTTTGGCCCTGGACCGGTGAACACTGTGCTGCAGCAAGTGGTTCAGTCCTGTATAGACTGTGCCTACCAGCCTAAGGTGCTGCTCAGCGCTCTGCAGAGCGACTCAGGAGGAGGAGAAGCCGTCAAAGGTAGAAGCTCACAGATGTTTATCATCACCTGTTTAAATATCCATACCAGACCTACTGACCAATAAGAGACTTCCTGTTTCCTTCCAGTGAGAACAGACGGTGGCGTCCGTGTGCTCAGACTACCCGCAGCCTCCAGTCCTTCCTTTGTGCTGCGTTTCCTAGAAACCATGTGTCGTCACCTGCAGTGTGACAACCTGTTCAGCAGCCAGCCGTTCAGCCACTACGCTGCTTACGACAGAAACAAGTCGGGTAAGGCCGTCTGTCCCACCAACCAGCAGCTAGGATAATCAGTAGAGTAACGACCGTCGTGGCCAGAAGCCGACCGCTCTCTCCTGAGAGCCGTGGCGACATCAGGAGGTCAGGTTCACCTGAACAGGTCTCAAGGTCTTGATCCATCTTCAGGGTTCCCACCTGTGGATGTTCATCGTGGTCAGGCTGTGTTGGTTAGGAGGGAAATACTTTTCATCATAATTCTGAGTTATTAACCATCAAAACCATTATGACCAGTAAAAATTAAACTTTAATGTTTTAAAACAAGCTTATGTTTCCTCCTCACGTCTCTTGTGGTTTCGTTTATTTATGATTTTGTCAATGAATGTTCAGCTCCAACAAAGTCACATATAGCCATGACCTGAACAATAAGTTATTGGTTATCTCCTCATTTCTGTATCGTGTAAATATCTCCAGAGAAGTCTTCTCTGATTTAAAATTCTGTTTCCTTCTTTAAATAATCATAAAGCAGCGGGAATTCCCTGAAAAAACTCGTTGTTTTAGCACACGTATTTATCGCTACGCCCATTCCTTGCAGCAAACGGTGAGCAGAGTTGTGAACTGTTAGCCTAAAATAAGTGTTTCCTTGTGTCTGGTTCAGTGAAAGAAGAAGCGCTGGATTCTCCCACTCTGGCTCGGGGCAGTAAACGCTGCCTTTCAGGAGTCTCCCCCCCGTATGCAGCGCCCCTCTCTCCCAAACACGTACGAGCTGAGGCTCACCCTTCAGAAGGTATAGCTCCCTGAGTGTGTGTGTGTGTGTGTGGGGGGGGGGGTTACAGTCCTCCCGTCTGCCTCTTATCAGCGTGTTTGTTGTAAAACCATTTCATAAATCAGAGAGTTTCAGACGTTGGATCTACAGACAAGCAACACTTTGCTGTTGCAGGACAGTACACAGTTTGTAGTATTTTCAAAAGTACTTTGTGTACTTACATGTATGTGGACATCACTGAGCGGTGTTTTAAAACTTTGTGTGTCTTCCTCCCTCCAGCAGAGACTCTTCCACATGAAGAGAACGGCCTGATGAAGGAGCAGCGCTACATGGATTCTGCTTCCAACTCCATGACCCCTCGACCCCAGACGATGCGGAGTACCTCGGAGTATCACTCCCAGGCCAGAAGCCTCTATCACCGTGGCGGTAGCACACCGATGCGCCGCCATTCTTCCAACCCAGCAGAGCTCAGCTCCCCTCAGCCTCTGAGACGAGTGGAAGGTACGGGCGGGTTGGGTGGTTGTAGGACGTTAGCTGCAGGCGCTTGTCCTGCTACGAGGCTTGGTTCTCTGACGTGTGTGCTTTGGCAGCAGCCAGCTCCACCACAGGTCCCGACTCTGTGGTTTCAGAGCGAGAGAGTCTTCCCGGTAAAAACCCCGCCTCCTGGTCCATCGAAGAGGTGATGCAGTTTGTCCGGGACGCAGACCCCACCGCGTTGGCGCCTCACGCTGAACTCTTCAGAAAACATGTAAGACCAAGTTGGTACGTGTGGTGTTGTTTTTAGTCTTTATTGTTGAGTCTCCTTCTTCGTCGCTACAGGAAATCGATGGAAAAGCGTTGATGCTTCTACGGAGCGACATGATAATGAAGTACATGGGTCTGAAACTGGGACCTGCGCTCAAGTTATGTCATCACATAGAGCGGCTGAAGCAAGGCAAGCTGTGACGAGCGTCAGGACCAGACCTGCCAGCAGGACGTCTGGATCCTGACTCAGGTCATGCAGGGGTCACGCGTTACACCGGACTTCTCCTGGAGGGACGCATTAGATGTTACACCTTCATCCCGACTTCCAGAGTGGACAAAGTGTGCCATGCATTGCTGACATGACCTCATCCCCTCATTCGTGCACACATGGCTGTTTGAGTGGAACGAACGCGACGGACTCAAAGAAACCCCGAAGCAGAGAAACCCCTGCAGTGTTTACATCGCATAACGCGTGCACAGACATTTTTTTAATGGAAATGAAATGTTTAGATCCTGGTTTGGATCCCCAAAGATGGAGAATGTTTCTTCTTTATAAAATGTTTTTATTATTGTTAAATTTATACTCACTAAGAAAAGGGTAAGCATACTGAGAAGTTTTAAAACACATCAAACGTTCTTCCTGGTTCTTTAAGAGAACTTGATGCTCGTGTCTGTCCAGCTGGTTTTGCTCCGTGTTTGCCTAAAAGTCTCCGTCTGCCTGAAGGACGCCGACGTCTCCACACAGCTCGAGACGTTTTCTCTGCTCGTCCTGGTCCTGGTCGTGAGTTATACGGTCTTGCTGGACGGAGGCGTTCCCGTCGCTGTCCTGCACAGTCACTACTTGCTGTGAGTCTTTATAAGTTATTGTGTCTTCGCTGGTCTGAAGCAGCCTCCTGCTGGGTTCTCGTGCCCGTCTAGCGTGTTCTGCAAACTCAACCCTTCGGCTTCGATCCGTTTCAGAGAGAGAATGTTTAGGTATGACATTTCCAAGGGCTCCTCGTGGTTTTTTGTTTATTTTTATGAATCATGTGCTGGTCTGCCCAAGACCTCAGTGTTGTTACCGTCGACCATTACAATCACTTTTAGTACTGTGTACAGTTTTATGGGTTTAACCATGAATATCAGCAGCAGAATGTACATTTTGTGGAAACGTAATATTTTAAGGAATTTGTATACGTAAGACAGAAATGTGAAGCTAGAAGGTGATGGGTCGAGTATTTAACGCTGGTTTTCAGAGACCTAAAACAGTGCTTTTAGTTCACTTCTAAACCCTGCCTTGCTCGAAGGCATTTCTCAGGTTTCTGTGCTTTTAGTAGTTTTTGTAACGTATGTTTGTAGTTACCCATCCTCACCTTCTACACTTTAAACTTGTGCCATGTACTCCACACAGGATCAAAGTGCTGACTGTTTCTTTTCTGCATCTTTAAAGTACTTTTGCAAACTGTTGCTCGTCCGTCATGTCACACCAGATAAAGGTTGTGTTTATACACGTGTGCATCTTCTGTCGTGCCATAACCAAGGTATGAAAAATACTCTTATTTTTGTTTGGTTGTTTTTCCCTGAAGAACCATGTGGAAATGTTTTTGGCTCGACCCGGCTGGCTCAGAAGAACCATATCTGTGCCCTAATGGGAATTCTCTAGCAAA